AGAGAGAGAGAGAGAGAGAGAGAGAGAGAGAGAGAGAGAGAGAGAGAAAGAGCAGATAGAGAAAAATTACGGAATAAGATGGAGAATAGAGGAGATAGAGGAAAGACAAAATGGAAGAAAAAGACACAACGGAAATGATTGAAATAGAGGCATTTTGTCAAATAATATCACAGATGATATTCATCGCCTATAAGTTACAATGGATATAATCTGTCTCATCCAATAATAATAATAGATAACTCAAAATAATAAAATAGTTTTGATCAGCCTAATTGATAAGAAAATTCCATTCAGATTTGAGAAATCAATGAAGGAAAGTAAGAATTGATTTTTGACTCTTGATGCCAACTCTATTTACTTAATTCATTTGATCATGCACATGATATAGTGTTAAATGAAATATATATATACATATATACAGAAACAGAAACCAAACAGAAATAGAAAATATTCAAGTCTTTGTTGGATTGACAACTTCCTAGTCTAGGGGATCTATTCGATATCTCCAAGTCTCTAAGATGTGTTCGATTGGAGATGCTAACTAGATAATTGTATAACAATCCGGGGGTTTCTTTCACATGTAGTTAAATGCTTTTGACGATTCCGGGATTCTCACGTCCCGAGATTCTCATGGGGCACGCTCGGAGCGTTTAGCGTGCGGCGTGCAACAATTTAACACACTCCAAAGTTAGAGACGGCGCTGTGGACGCTCGAACAATTCATCAAAGTGGCAGAGCAACAAAAACAAGCAGCTAAACGACTTTGACAGCCACTGAAAACTCAGCCAGAGCAAAGGGGTTACAGAAAAAAATGAACGAAACAAAAAACATTAGGAAAATCAAATAGAAAACCCCGTTAACAGGGGCGCGTGGCCTGATTCTGTAGTTTGTTTTTTTCTTTCCTGGGATGCGGCGTGAGGGTCGCATAATTAGCAGCCCTAATGAAAGGTGTCTGTGTGTCTGTGTGTGTGTGTGTGTGAACTACAATTTGTGTGTGCTTATATAAAGTTTTTTTTTTATTTATTTAACTGTGACTCTAACTCTATTTGACTCTCATTTTTTTCTAGTTTTTTCAATTTTTTTTATTTATTTTTTTTTTTCGTTTTGAGCAAAAAGTGATGCAAAACAAATCAAATCATGTGACAAGCTTCTAATGAACCTCAAAAGGTGCCACGACCCGCTCGAACGGTGTCTGCCCGCCCAGCGTCTGACATTTGTGTGGCCTATAAATGCTAATGAGGCCTCGTTTTATGTCCGTTGTTTGTTGTTGTTGTTTTCTTTTTTTTAAAGCATTTTTTTTGTTGTTTTTGTTGCTGGAAGTTAATTTTTTTTATAGATTTTTATGGTGAGTTTTTGGGTAATTCTTTGTGGGTCGTTCGGCTTTTTGTGGGTGACGTAGCAGATTCGCAGCCGCTGCTGGGCCCTGGGCCGTGCTCGCAGATTTGATGCGCCCTTGGGCAGCCCCACCCCCCCGGAGGCGGGTAGTTTTGCCCGCTCAGCGTTATGGTCACGAGCCTTGTTCTTTTGTTCCCCCTAGGGTACACACTCTCTCTCCCTCTTTCTCTCTCTCTGTCTCTCTGTCTCTTTGGGTGTTTGTCGCTGCATTTTGTTCCACTTGAGTTTGTTTGCTTAACGACCTTTGAAATTAGGCAGAGCTAAGGGGCAATAGGCGTTAGATGGACCCAATGCAGCAGCCCGTAGATTAGACGCTGTCCGCAGAGTCTGACAAAGCGACAACAACAACAGCAGCAACAACACCAATTACAACAACAATAACAATTTATACTATTTATATGCAAATTTGCAAGCGCCTCGCAACTGTGCACCATTTGCTGGCCTAATTAAAATAGGGCTAACATTTTTAATTAGGCCAAAATGTGAAGTGAACAGAGACAGAAGGACGAACGGACGGACGGATAGACAAAACGAAATGTGCATGCTTGAAGGCACATTCAAATAAGGGGAACAGAAAAGGAAGATCATTGAATTGGGGAATGAAAATCTTGATGGGCTTCAGCCCTGGCGATAAGTGAAATCCTATTCAATATTCGCATCGGAAGAGTTCCTGAAGAAGCTGAGAGAGTTTCGTGTTAGTCAAGTCTTATCTCTTTGAGTATTGTTAATGAACAAGAATAAGACGTGAGAGGTGAACAGGCAGTTTGTATAGCTATGGTTCCTATGGAAGAAGACTTTGCTGTTGAGTAGAGCAAAGGAATACCTCACTTAACGGATAGATGACAAGTCGTTTGAGACGTGAGCCTAACGGATTTTCAATACTTGTTATGGTATCATAATCACATGTCTGATGACTGAATTTTGGAAAATTATGCTTTTCGGACAGAATGTTTAGTAAGACAGAGAACTTACACTACCTATGAATTTGTTGATGAATTTACTTAAATGAAAATCAAAGAATGCTGGCAGAAACAGACAACGATGATATAGAGTGAACCCAAGTTTTAAAATGGTGAAATGGCAGAATACTGCAAGATATAGACTTTTACGATTAGCCATATCCTTAATTGGTATAGTGTATATACATGTATACAATTTTCGGTAAATCTATTATATATATAGTATTTATATATATTTATATATGTATATATAGTTTCTATATAGGTTTGGCCGAGCGTACATCTACCCACTATATATTTTTATCTTAGGTGGTCAAAGCGGGTATAGGCTTAAGCTTTGACTAGTTTTCGAAGAACTTTCCGGAAATACCTCTTTCCAATCGACCCCGCTCTTAGTGAGTGAGAGCTGCTGGACGTAAGGGCGGCGAGTATATATAGCGAGCAGTATACTCATATAACTTTCGGGAATGAGCATAATAATTGAAACCATCGAGTGAGGCAATTAATTTTTCAGTTTAAGGTATTCCAATGACTATAATAAGTAATATTATATATAGATATTGTGAGTCAAGAACACCTAATATCAAACACGTAATTAGACAATATAACAACGATGGGCGAAGATAAATGGTCCATTGGAACCAGACTCCCTTCGATTAACCCCCAAGGTGAGTGAGAGAGAGAGAGAGCTCTACGATTAGATGCCCTGTGACAGATCAAACAGAGGTATAAATGGGCACAATCAGCTCGAATCGCTCCCTCGACCTGATCGAGCATTTTCTAGCTATTCGAGCTATTCTAAAATGAATTAAAATATTCCTTAAAGCTTCTGTAACTCTTTCCCTGAGACTTTCTCAGATGGAACTCTCTCTGTACCCTTTGTTGTTGCTCTGCAGCGCTGCCTGATTGTTTCACTAACTGATTTGGTAGCTGTCATAATTTTTGTGCTCTTATCAAAATGCTCGTCCATTATCTGATTTATAGCCAGCCCTTTTTCCATCGTCTCCGACACGCCCACTCCCGCACAGAGGCTGGGCTGGGCCGCAGTTTGCTATCGATTTGAGTTAAAGCATGAAGGCGCCTTGTAGCAAATTAGGGGCATGGACCCCAAGCACAACTATGCCACAACTGAAACTAAGAGGGAGAGAGAGATGGCGAGACAGCGAGTGTGAGTGAGGGAGAGAGCGCGCTCGAACAAAGTCAGAAAGTCAACAGAAACCATAATTCAGATAATTTTATTTATAACACCCTTGAGGAATTATATTTTATTTACTCTTTCAAGTGTGATGATGAGGCCGCTGAGCCAAGAGCCGAGAGACCCATACGAATGGACAGGCGATACCAAGGACCTGTACCCGCTCCCTGTCTCTCTTCCCATCCCATCATTGTGTGTGTGTGTGTGTGTGTGCTTGTATCTATGAAGTCTCTGGGTCCTTTGTTGTGTCAATCGAGGGTTGGAACGGGCCTCGAGACACTCCTTCGATTTGGTAGCAGATGTGTTTATAAATTGTTGAAATCTGTGTGCATTTTAACATATGAATATCACGTAGTGCCAGCTCAGGCCACGAGCGGGGAGGCTGAGGCTGAGGCTGTCTCCCTTCTTGGCTTTACTTTTGGGGTCGGCCGCATCATTGTCATCATTACGTGGAGCTATCGAATATGCGCATCAAAATGTGAATTCGATTGGTTTTAGTTGTCGTCTAGCCCCCCTCTCTCTCCCTCTCTCTCACTCTCTCTCTTGCATTGTTAAGTGATCTCGCCCAAACCCCACTGTAGCTCTAATTGGTTAGCCAGCAAATTCTGCAATTAAATTTCACTTAAAACTGCAACTAAACACAGGCTTTGCCTTTGGCCGCGAAGGAGGCGCCCGGGACGATTTGGGGCGAACGAATTGGGTTCGCGCTACATGTAATTTACTTCCGCAGCGGCGCTTTAAACATATCCGAGCCACCAGGCCCAAGCAACACCCACCACTTCCTAATTGTGAAAACCAATTTGCGCCGCTATAAATTAGAAAGACAAACGACGGCAACGGCAACGGCAACGGCTCCGACAGCAACATTGCCAAATGCAATGCGGCCGTCCGAGTCGGGGGGCTAAGAATGGGGGCCAGAGGCAGGGAGGCAGCACTCGGGGCCTGAATAGCAATGTGTGGAACAGGAGCAGGGGCAGGGACAACTATGGCTGGCTGCTTGAGGGCTGGGCGACCATCCAGTCGGTAGAGCCATGCCACGCCCACTGGCGTTGCCGGCTGGTTCCTGTGCTCTGGGTTCCTGTGTGCGGTTAGCCGTTAGCATATCTTGGAAATTTACATAAATAGACTTTAATTGTTTGCAATTATAATGCGAGCCTAGCGAAATGCATAGACAGCCAAAGAGCCCAAAAGCAGAAGTCCCTCCCTCTCCCTCTCTGCCTTTCCCTCTCTCTCTCTGGCTCTATAGTTCCATGTGTTGTCTCCCTCTGCCCCTGCCTCTCACCACGCCCACGCGCTTGTCAGTTAATTATGCTCGCTTGCTGGCAGCAGCTCCGTTAGCCGTTTGCGATTCGCGCTTCGCGATTTGCGATTTGCAATTGCGATTTACCATTAGCGATGTGCGTTTAGAGCTGAGCGCCTAATGCCAACGACTTATCGACTTTTGCAGTCTCCTCCGCCTCCGCGTCCGCCTCCGCCCAGGATGATGAGACGGCCAGCGAGAGCAGCGCAGCAGCCGCCGCCAATCGTCGACGGAGCCGCACGAATTTCAACGCCTGGCAGCTGGAGGAGCTGGAACGGGCCTTTCTCAGCAGCCACTATCCGGACGTGTTTATGCGCGAGGCGCTGGCCATGCGGCTGGATCTGAAGGAGGGACGCATAGCGGTAAGTCCCAAGAGAAATAAAGATAAAGAAATCGAATTATTGAAGATTTGAATTATTGATAATTAAATATAAACAATTATTGATGTAGAAATAATAATATAATATATTTAAGTCTAGTGCAAGTCAAATGAATGTCGATGAAAATCGATACTTATGAGTACCTCTTGTATAATGTATGTAGTTTATGTAGTTTATTATTCTTAACTCTGATTCTTATCGATAATAACCATTCAAGTAAAGTGTAGTGCAATCACAGAGCAACGCTACATTTTCGGTTATTTTCAATGTACATTGTAAAATCAATTACTCATCAATAGGCATAGAAAGCTTTATTGGAAAATATAGATAATGCCGGACAATCGATAACTTATTAGATGGGGAAGTACTCTTAATTTATACGATTTTCTGATTCGGAAATGTTTTTACTACCAAAGCAATCGATATGTTCTAGCTCATTAGCAAATGGGATTTCGCTGTTTATAATATATATTTCGTTACGCCGATAACTCAACATATTTCATATCATAGTTTCCCCTGTTTTATTTACCTACCCCCATCAAATAAGTTATCGGTTTGGTATAAGGATACAGGATATTTTATATATGCTATATTATATATATTTTCTAGTTTTTTTTTATAATTTATGTCACAGTTCATTGATTAAGCTACATCTTTCATACAGGTAGAATATATCAATATCCACATATATTTTTAAGTGTTAAGTGAACACATTCAACTGATTTGGGGAAAAGTAGATGAAGTCAGCTCTTGGAATAACATTGTCCTTTATCGTTATGTTTGTATCGATTTCATCCATTCGATTAAATCGAATATAATAATACTTGATATATTTATACTCTTAAGTTACTTTATATTATCAACTAAATAATCTCATATATATTTTCAATTCGATTTATCCATACAATGGTCATCGATAATCACTTTCATATCGATTTCATGTAGCTTTATATATATATCGATATATTTGCATAGCTGCTTTTACAGTACTAAGTAAGGGACCTCAAGCTATGAATTTCGTAAATCTACGATTCCAATGAAGTTCCATTGGCATCGATATGCCGTAATCGATCAATATATCGATATCCATGTGTTCTGTATTCCGCAATACAAACAGAACCAATTCATATAGACAATTGCATAATTCTGTATTCCAATGAAATCGTCATCGATAATCCCAATTTTCGGCTCGGGTATTGCTATCGGCATCCATGTAGTTCGCTCGCACCTGATTGCAGCGGCATTCGCGTGCTCTTGCTGGGTAAAACAATTTGACTGCAACTGCAACTCAATTACTCAATAAAACCAATTACCCGACTATTTTTATTCATTATAATTCAGTTTATTTCATTCCGAATTGCGTTTCGTGCCGCTCGCTGCTGTTGGAATGATTTCAATTGCATTGCCCAAAGAGTTGACGCTGTCGATGACGACGACGACGACGGCGACGTCGACTGCGATGCCATGGACGTTGCCGTTGCCGTTGCCGTTGCCGTTGCCGTTGCCATTGCCGAGTTGCATGTCAGGCGTGTGATTATCGTCGTCGGTTTCTTGGGCTGGGACATTATTCTATGTCTGCGTCTACGCTTTAGCCAGAAATTGTTTCTTGACATGACATATCAATTTGTCAATGCGAACAAGACGAGACAAGACTGCGACAGACAGTCGGACAGACACCCGGACAGGCAGACAGACAGACAGACAGACAGTGGGTCGAGCAGTTGGACAGGTGAGCCAGCTGGCTGATGGGCGGCGCAATTGGACTTGGTTTTGGTTCAGGTTGAGGTTTGGGCGCTCGTTAAAGCGCAGGCAACGTGAGCATCGCATGCAGCTACTCAAAAACAATTTGCTGCACATTAAAAAATGCACAATGCATGCAAATGACTTCAAATTGAAGTGACACACTCGCACACACACACACACGCGCGCACACATACAGAGAGACATTCGAACGCCCACTCGAAATGCGTTCGCGTTGCGCTTGAGTCGCTCCTCAAACTGCCCCCAATTAGGGACGCCATTTTGTTTACGACCCGCCGTCTAACCCCATGCATAACGAACGAGCGCATATCGAAGCTGAAACCGAAACCGAAACCGAACCTGAAACTGAAACTGAACCTGAGACTGAGAATAATATAACTAAATTACGATAACGACTTTATAATAATAATATTCATTATTGTTGCTATCGCTCAGCCACTCGGCTGATGCGAACTCATCAATTGTTCGCCAATTGCGAAAGTCGAGGGTATTTCGTATTCTGCCTACCATTGGCAGTATGGGCTCATTACTGGCCTCATCATCATGATTATTGTTTATATTAATATAATTATGTAACTCCAGAGATTTGTCTAATATGCTCTATTATTCTACTCTATATAATCTACATATTTTGTGTTTAATCTGTGCTATAAGCTGAGCTTAAATGATTACGTAATCATGACTTATCCCAGTCTCTCGCTTCGTTTATCCCTCTGTTTCTCTGTGTGGGGTAATCTGTCGATTTGAAAGATCTCTTCAATAGATTTCAAGCAGATCTGAAATGGAATTACCATTTATACTAGATGTGTGTATATGTATGTATATATTTGTATAATCGTTTACGCAACGAAAAGGGTATATGGGGTTGGTATAAACCATTTCGCCCCTACTGAAGCGTGGAACTTGAAATATTTACTCGTGGATCTTATAAACTGTTATGAATTTCTCAACACCCACTCAAGACGTGTGGCAAATCGGGATAAATCTATATCACCCAAGGGATCTATGGATCTCTAAAATGGAGCAGTTAAGTTATTGCGGCTTGCTCCAGAGATTCAACTGTTTAGACTACGAAGGAGTATTATGCAGTCAGTAGCAGCCGACTGAAACAGTCTTATTTGTTATATATGCATACCTATATAAGTATATCTTATACTTTAAGCTTCTGAACATTTTCAATCTGTTTATCGACATCTGCAATATCGACCTTAGCAAATCTTCTATTATTATTATTTGGAATTCAGCATGCTCTATGAGAATTGTCTCCACACAATTGCACAAAACTCAAAGAGCGAAGATAACCTGTCTTATGATGGCACAAAAATATATCAAAATAAACATCTTTAATATGAATATAAACTATGGAACTATGCGTAGCATTCGAAACATTTCCATCTAATAATATCACATGCTCTAACTAGATATTCAATAGACAGTAGAGTAGAGTCTAAGTCCTTTAGCCTAAGCTGTAGTTAATGTGCTCCAAGACGATCCTTTGATTTCATACATCTCTCATTTCGACCCACTGTTGCAGGTGTGGTTCCAGAACCGGCGCGCCAAGTGGCGCAAGAAGGAGCACACGAAGAAGGGTCCTGGACGGCCGGCGCACAATGCCCAGCCGCAGAGCTGCAGCGGTGCGCCGATTCCACTGCAGGAGCTGCGCGCCAGGGAGCGGTAAGTGAACGGCACGGCGGAGCAACAGTTGCCCCCCAAAACTGATCCCGATCCTCTCGAGCAGGGCGCAACGCAGCAAGCGCATAGCCAAGGCGATCGAGCGGCAGGCGCGCAAGCTGCGCCTCAAGGGGCTCGAGGTGAACCTGGAGCAGCTGCGCGCCGACTATCTGGCGGCGCACCAGCAGGAGTCCAGCGACATGGAGCTGCAGCAGGAGCTGGAGCGAGGCGAGCAGCTGGACGATGAGCTGGCCATCGATGTGGTGGGCGGCGACAGCTCGGACAACTGCAACCAAAGAGGCTGCCCGGACGACAGCTGCGACAGCAGCCCTGTGATAAAACTGGAGCCACTGGAGCCGCCGATACCACTGGAGCCACCGAGTCTGACGGCGCTGCCCGAGCAGCCGCCGCTGCAGAAGCCGAAGCAGCAGAGGCCGCAGTACAACTCATCCTTCAGCATCGAGTCGCTGCTGGGCACATAGCGCCCATCCCAGCCTAGCCCAGCCCAGTCCAGCTAATTGCAGCTCGAAGCATTTATTTTTTATACATCAATTTTTTTTGTTTAGCTCTAGGAATACCCAATAGGAGTGCCGAACGAGGGGTGTATTGAAGCTGTGCAAATATATATATGTATGTATGTATGTGTGTGTATTGAGAAGGCTAAAACTGAAATCGAATAGCGTTTCAATCCCATTCTATTCCACGCAGACGTCGGGTATATTAGCTTAAGGTATGTGTGTGCTGGTAATATTACAGGGTATACTGATTGAAAACGAATCGAACTAAATAAACTGATAACTGAATTCCAGTATTATTCGAACTACTGGGCGAGTGTTTTCTTCAATCTGCATACTCTTCGGGTGGGCTAGCCCAAAATATTCAATTTACAGGGTATTTATATGGTATATTGAGGTAGAAAGCATTCACTTGGCTACAGTATATTGAATTTCCTTTTTAATTTCCAAATTGCATTTCTCTCTGACTTTTGACTTTTGCTTCATGAATGGCCTACGGAATGGAACGGAATGGGAACGGGCCAGTGAATGCGAATGTGAATGCGAATTTGAGTGCGCATTTTAATTTCCAGCAAAGTGCCCGGCGGCTGCGTGTGCCGCTGTGGTGCGAGCTCAGCGAGCAGCAGGCGGAGGCAGTGCATCCATCAAGTTCACACGCAGCACGCAATGGACCTGGACCGCAAGATCAGCCCGAAGCTGGGACAGCTCCAACGACCATGGGTCTAATTGTGCAACTATCGAACACGGAATTCGATAACTATCGATCATTTACATATTACTTTTTATAGTTACTAAAATGCAAATATATACTTATATCCATGGTTTGTATTGATATAAACTATAAGCTGCGTCAAGACCCACATATCGATAACAAAAACGATTATTCTTGCCAAGAAAATGTAGTCCTGGTTAAAGGTAATGCAAGCATACTAGAAATGTATAACATCTGATTATTGGCATGACTTAAATTTGATATGAAAGTAAGTTACCGATATTATCGATATTATTGATAGATGCATTAACTTGCTAATTGAGTGGATTTTCTTATATTTAGCCGTAGCTAACAATTCGTGAATATATAACATGAATATCGATAGTAATGGCTTAGCATGTGAATTCAATCGATTAATTTATCGATAACTCACGTGTTTGCCTGAAGTGGAACACAGGTAATTCTAATATGAGCTAAGGTAATGAGCACTCCATATTAATCTAGAGTAATATAGCGCATCAGATGTACTTGAATATTGTAATCACGTATTTATCGATAGTTTAGTCAATGAGTATCAACAATGAATTCTTGCTTCAGTTATTGCTGCTATTACCGATACATCAAGAACGATAACCAACCAAAAGTTGTGTGTCTGTAGTCGAATGGCATATAATAACTATCGATTATCGATAGCATCGATCGTGAGTGACTGCCATCGCTGGCAGAGCAAGTGGCTGTCATTAATAATTAATGAGATCGAGTTTAGGGTGTTGCCAGGTCCCAGGTCGTCAAGTGCTCAGGTGTTAGGGGCTGGCAACCCACAACACGTGCGTGGCAAGCAGCAATGGATTGGATTTTCGCTGCCGCACAAACGAATTTCGGCCATTGTATCTGGAGAGCAGCAACTGTATCTGAAAGATACTTTCAGCTGAACGCATCATCAGCCGCAGCAACAGCAACAGCAACAGCAACAGCAACATCATCGTCTCGAGAACTGCGACCTGCATAGCCGTGAGGCAATTTACGAAATGCAACGCGTCCGGAATCGGGACACCGTTGCGACTGCCAACAGCCAACAGGCAACACTCGACTGCCGACTGCCGACTGCCGACTGCGGACTGCGGACTGCCAGGGGTCGGGGTCGGTGCCCACAAATGTAATACACACATCAGGCAAATAAATTAGAAGGCAACTCCTTTGGCAGCAGCGTCAGGAGCGCCGCGCCCCCGTCCAGTTCGTTTGCCTCGTTCGCAGTCGCACAAAATGGAGCCAGCGCGCTGCGGCGAGTAATGTCGACAATCCGTCATGCAGGTGTGAATGATTCATTAATTTCTCGCCTTCATACGAATTTTCAGTTAACATGCAAGCGGAACCAAAACGAGCCGCCGCAAAAGAGTTACGCAGCCAGCGACGTCGACAGCGACTGCGACTGCGACTGCGACTGCAACTGCAACTGCGACGCATGCCTGCCAGCCACAGAGAGGCAGATCCCGAGTCGCGAGTCCCAATTTCAGACTCCCAATCCCAGTCTCACTTCAAGTCCAAGACGCAGTCGCAGTTCCAGCCTCAGCCTCAGCCTCAGCTTAACGTCTTCATTACGCACGGCCAACGTTTCCGCTCCACTCCGCTTGCCGCTGCCAGTTGCCAGTTGCCAATTTCGTTTTGCATTTTCAATTTTGTGGCATTTCCTTCGACCAACAGCAGCAACAGCGGGTGGGCATGCCCCCATGCTCCTGCCCCTACTCCTGCGCCTGCCTCCATCCAGCTCCACTGAGCCCGAGTCGAGCTGCACCGCTGTGCGTTAATTACCTGATGAGCCCAAGGATCAAATGCCAATTTACACCTTTTCGGCTCTGTTTATGCTTTTTTGTTAATGCATTTATTATTATCCTCTTCTTCTTCTTCGTTTTTTAAATTAATTCGAAGCCCAATTAAATCTATTTTCAGTGTGCGGCTTATTAGACAATTTACAGTTGTAATGCTCATCAATAGAGCCATTAAATTCAGCGTAAAATATGAATTTGAATATGAATACACTCACATGGCTAAATGAACAAATTGCTTATCATATATGATAGATTATGAATACTCTGGAATATGTATGAATATGTCTTTGAATATATGAATATATTTGCAAAGAGTTTTAAAAAAAGTAAATGAATGTAATCAACGAATACTTTTGTTTTTATAATGATTAAAAGTTGAGGTTAGGGATAATATAAGACTGTTTCATCTTATAGGATAATGTTAGTTTGCATATACATATGTATATAGATTTTACATGCTATGGCGAATTGGGTTGAAGATACATGAATCCATTCTCTCATGAATATACTCAAGAATTGGAGTGCATATACTCATAAGACTCTGAGAATAGATGTACACTTTAGAGACCAATAGAAGGTAAACTCACAGGCTATATTTATAATACCATGAGTGTAGTCTGAATCATACAAATACATACATAAATGCACAAATATACTTAAAGTGTACTTACTCATTATATAAACGAATAAATATAGTTTATTCACAAATTTAAATTCATGAATACACTCGAGAATGTACTTCCAAATGGACTATTCAGTGCTTATGAATATACCAGAAAGTGTGCTCTAATATACTCACTTCCATACTCACGATCAGTGAATGCAATGTGAATGGGCTCATATTTGAATATACTCACATTTATAAAGAGGAACAGAGAGAGAGAGAGAGAGCGAGAGCGAGAGAAAATAATTTAGGAAACCGAAATAAAGTCATTTAGTGAAAACACTCATGGATAATAACACTCACCGACAATAGATGCACTCATGAAATACACTCAATGCTCAGCCAGCATTCATTTGGCTGCAGCTGAATGCATTTGTTTTATTCACTTACTGCTGCCTTAGCACTCATTTCGACGCATTCAATTGGCCATTCAGTCAGCCAGTTATTCACACTTCTATTCACACATTTCGCCTGCCAATTTGCTGTTCACACGGCATCCTCCAGCTGAGTCCCACTCCCGCTGCCCCATGCCCGATGCCCGATGCCCAATACCCAAGCCAATCCGATTGGAGTCCAAGCGCTTCTTTGGCTCGTAAAATGCGCTGAATGATTTTTGGCTGCTGCTTGGATGTTGCTGCAACCTGTTGTTGTTGTTGTTGTTGTTGCAGCTTAAAACAACAACAATTCATATTTTTTATTACACCTACTTTGAGGCTTGAGCCGAGCTGCGTCGCGGCACAAAAATGAAGGCGTTAACCAACTTTAATACATTTATTTGGGCCACAAAACCAAAATAAACAACTGAGCAGTCAGCAAACGGGAAGAGCGCGACTTGCAGATACCCTATAACAACAGCTGTAGTGAATGATGGCCAGCAATTGTAGAGCACTTCAATTGCATATTGAATATTAATATATAATATGAATATATTAAAATTATAAATAAATAAATAAATATTGAGGCATTTGAATGTGGGATGAGTAAAAATAAGTTACAATTGCAGTTTTAATACCCATAATAATTTAAGTTAATTTTTTAGAGAATAAAGTTTTACGCTGTGTTTGCTGGAAGAAGAAGACTACCTTGGAAATGTATATACATATATCATACATATGTAAATTTGCATACTTTTATATCACAGAAAAACTTTTAAAAAAATTCTCAAATAATGCTAAAAATGTTTAATTTAAAAAGGTAAAATTAAAAGTAAAAAATTTTTAAGATATTTAAATTTGCTTTAAATCTTTATTAGAGCTTTGCTAAGGGTCTGTCATTTAATTTGAGTAGTACACCCCGTAAAATCAAGTGGCGTCGGTGGTGTAATGGTCAGCATAGTTGCCTTCCAAGCAGTTGATCCGGGTTCGATTCCCGGCCGACGCACAACTTAATTTTTAGTTCTTTTAATAAATCCATATTTTATAATGAAGTTAAAATTAATTATATAAATAATAAATAAATAATAATATAAATAATAAATAAAATAAAATATGTATAAAAATACCCATATTATACCTATATAGTATATATTAATATACTATATACTGATATATTAATTTTGCAACTTTATTTACTATTCAACTTTTTTCAATAAAATAGTAGCATAATAAAAATAATATAATAATAGTATAATTAAAAAAATACTAAAATATAAAACTATATAATTTTTTATAGTTTTCAGTATTTATATACATATAATATTATACATTACTATAATATTTATATATTATTATTTATATTTTCTATTTTTCAGTATTTATGTAAAAAATATATTATTGTAAGATTTTTTATTTAAAAATATTTTCAATTATTTAATTAAATAACAAAATAATCGTTTATGGAATTACAAAAATTTCTTTTTAATCGAAATAATAATTCTCAAACCATTATTAGACGATTGAAGTGTACTATAAATATTTCGCTTAGCATTAGCTAGGCTGAGATTATCTAGGCAGGGTATAGCAATTCGATCAGCTGGTCTTGGGTGCAGAGTGAGCGGCGCAGGACTCTGCGCAGGCGCAGTTGAGGTTGCCATATCTGTCCAAAGTAATAATTATGTTTCACGTTGTTATCCTAATTTACGTGCCAGGGCTGCCCCGACCCAGACCCAGAGTCGGACCCAGAACCCGAGCCAGAGTCAGGTCCAGAGCCAGGTCCAGTTCATAGCCATTCTCCATTGAACCTCATTTGTGGTCTCGCTTCTGAGGCTTGACAACAACGGAGCACGGCCTGTGCCTCGCTCAGCCGCTGCCTCTGCCTGCATCGCCCCAGGCGCTGTGCAGCTCCTCGGCCTGAGCCTTAGCCTCATCCTCATCCTCAACCTCGTCGCGGCGCATTTCACTGGAAAAAGTATTAAGCACAAAGCGAGATACTGAAAATTGATTTCTCACCTTCGTGCACGTTATGACCGGGCGGCTGTCCATCTGTCTGATCCTCTGCTCCCCCCTGCCCCTGCCCCTGCCCCATCCCTACTTCACTCCACTCGCTCAAACTTTGTGCCTGCTTTGTAATTAATTAATATATATATAAATATATATGCATATGTATATGTATACGTATACGTATGTATATGTACGTGTGTTTCTGTTTATGTATTTCGCTGGCTCAGCTCGGCTCTTGAGTCGTCGTGATGCGCGATGGCAACTATTTCAATAAAGCTTACGCCCCCCAAGTGCCATGCCCAGCTCGAAACGTAACCCAGAATGCGGCCTAGACAGCGTGGCTCTATGGGCCTCGTCCCGTTCCCTTGGCCCTGTCTGTGCATAGCTTTGTCCAGCTTAATCGTAAATAAAAATTTTATCTGTAAATTTATTGCATCATCGGAAAACTTTTCAATTCTCCAGTCAGACAGACGAACGGACAAACCGAGAGACGTTTAGACATTTAGACGTAGAGCCCATTTAAGCACCTGTTGCTCAATGGAAAATTTATTTGTCATTTATTTTCTTAGGACCATTTGTCGTGGCTTTTAATTTGCTTTCAAAACGCGGCTTAGCTTTTCATTTCGAATGATTTTCCTTTCGCCCTCCTCCCTTGCTTCAACTCCAACTTGAGCACGAACTCCAGCAGCTCTCAAAGTCGCCAGAATTTCTCAGCTATCTTACCACATCTCTATTTTAATCATTTCTGGAATGATACAAAATATGTCTATATATGTAACACATATTTGGATAAGTTAACATATATGTATATTTGTGTAAAATTGATCTATTCCTAGGGCACAGATATTGGAAATTAAGGAAATTAGTTTTTCTAATTTATAGCTTAAAATTCGCAGACTTAAAAAAAAAAACAGGAGGGCAAATAAAAACGTTACATTCGCAGTAGGCATTACAAATTTTCAACTACTATATCTTCTGAGAACTGTAAAGTGCATATTCCGATTTCCCACGTCCCTACGAATTTCAAATCTTTATCTGCGACACGCGGCGCAATAAAAATAAAAACATATGGATATGAAATTTTCGTATTTCTTATTCAATTTCTATATATAATAAGAATTAAAGTTTTGATAGAATTGCATTCAATGAAACGATTTACAGTCAAGTCCCAATAATTCGAAATAGCAAGTGAATGAGTTTTTCCAATGATCGATAAATATCGAAAACTAATTTTTTTCAAGGACATTGAATTATTTCGATTTATCCAGATTGATTTTGATCTCCAGCTTTTACTCGTCTCTTTTTCTATCGCCTATCTATCGTATAATATCTTCTATCCATCGTATAATATCTTCATTCCTTCTCTAGATCTTGATAGAGCATTGAGCTGTTGCTCTTGCTGTTGCTGCTGCCTTTGCTTGGGTCGTAGACACTTTAACTATTATTTATACTATTATATTATGCATATTATACACACTATATATAAGTCGTAGCTTGTTTTCATCTCTATTGTTGGCTTGTCAATGGAGCTAACGCGCAGCATCCCCACTCTCCCCTCTGCCGTCTCCCTTCTCCTGTTCCCGATTTCTCGTCTTCTTTTTGTTGTTTTTTAAATGTGCTTGGCGTATAAAAATTTGTATGATATGATTTTTATAGACTTCAAATCGATTTTTTTACGATCATTGCGCTGGTTTTTATGCGCTCGTCGCTGCTGCTGCTGCTGCGGCTGAGGCTGCTGCTGGTTTATGTGACAGCTGACAGCGGGAAGGCTCCAAGTCAGTGACTCAAGGGGGGGCGCGGCGGAGCTGCAATTATGTAATTAGGTGTTAAGGCAAACAATATGCGTGGAGATTCAAATATTTGTCAGCTGAATGTGCGCGTGTGTGTATGTGTCTGTGTGTGTGTGTGAACCGTTAGATGGGAACTGTCTTGGCCTTATCGCAGCGCTGGCATCGAGCTTGGCCCAGAGAGCGCCATATGTTGGCCCAAATACAAGAAGAAGCAGAACAAGCAGGCGAACACAAAATAAGTTAAAGGCAAAGCCAATATCCGGCCGAAAGTCTGATCGCTGCTGCTGCTGCTGCTGCTGCTGCGTGCCACCTGTTGCATGCTTTTCTATGCGCGGGCAGAGCATTTTTTATGTTATTTTTTCTCTTTTCAAAATTTAATGTCTTTATTTTTTTGCGCATTTTTTGAAATTATTTTTGCGGCAGGGTTGAGCCCGAAGCGTCATCGTTGCTGATTAATAAAGCGAGTCGGCGGCAACAGCTGCTGTGTCAGCAGCAGCAGCAGCAACAGCCTGGCCAATTTGTGTGCTCGCATCCAGAGAAAGAAAGAGAGAGCGAGAGATAGTGTAAGAGAGACAGAGAAACTCAAGAACATTTAACTTTTACATTTAATTTTAGTTTTATTCACTTAGAACTAGAACTTAATCTCTAAGCACCAACAACTAGATCGATATTTACAAGTGTGCCAACCCCCCTCCCCCTTCCCCAGGCCGTTTAGGCGCTCACGCCTTGTGGAGTGCATTGGCAAAGGGCGCCGCCGTGGCCGTGTGCAGTCGATGGAACTGGCAGGCGGTGCGGCAGCCGCGACTGCAGAAGATGCGATCCGCGCACATGGATCTGGCCAGGCTCCACTCGGCGACGACCAGGACGCGGCAGTAGTCGTGGCACATATAGCAATCCGGCCGGGCGTGGCACAGCGAGGGCGACACGTCCGTCTGATGGTAGCAGCGCTGCCTGCACTTCCAGATGCGCAGTTGCTGCGCCAGTGGCAAGGGATCCGTGGAGGCGACCAGCACGAGCTGCCCGAGCAGCGCTATGATACAGAAGATGGTTGCGTTTGGGAGCGTGGATGAAGACGAGCTCGACATGGCTTGACTGTCTGACGTTGCCTTGGCTTCTAAATGTGTTTGGCCAGCGCCCGGCTGGTTTTATATGTCAATGGTGCCAGGCCGTTAGGCCGTTCATTCAACAATTGGGCGGAAAGTCCCAGGCTGCAACACTACCTGGCTGCACGGCGGCTACCTGGGCATCCGGTCAGGTAATTGACAACACATGTGCGCAATGACGCCGTGACGCCGCCGCACTGAGCCACATTTTATGAATGGCCCACAGAGCTGGAAAACCCTTGGAATTTCAGCTCATTGAATCGGCGGCGAGATTTTATGGCTCGCTTAATTTTTACCTGTTCGCTGTCCGTCCGGTCTGCTCTGGCCACACGCTGTGGGTCGGGTCACCCAGTTTTGGTGACAGTTTTTATTGTTGCGTAATGCGCACTCAACACATAAACGGCTAATCCTTTGTTTCTCTGACCACGATCATAAAAGTGGTGCACGTGCCGGCATCTATGGCTCGTGGAGTAGCTTACACTCAAGCAGGACTTGTAGATGACGCCACCAATAAATCAATTTACATATGCGCAACAGAGGCTGGCTTACAGCAGATGGCGCCAGAAATTCACCAAAGTTGCATACACTTGTTAAGCTATAGATGTCGCCGTTGCCTACATGCATTGGCATTGCATACTTTTGAGCGGGCATAAATAGCATTCTTTGCATGGTAGATGGCGCTTTACGTACTGGCTTTTAGTCTATGTTGGCTGTGCAAGGTTCAGCTTATACCACTTTACAATAGATGGCGCCAGCAATTCAATCAATGGTCTTGAATAAAGTGTAACCTAGATTATAACCCAATTAGAGGCAAACATCAGAATTATCTAAATTTTAATTGTTTATGATTTATTTGACATCTATTAAGCTGAATTCCTTCTCCGCGCAATTGTTCTCAAATTGCCCCGACAGCTCGTCAGCAGCATCGATCTGCTCTAATCCATGTAATAGAGTAAGTACACAATCAAAATTTGTCTAACTTTGGTTATATTTTTATTCATTAACTTAACTTGTTCTGCATTTCTCTGCGTCCTGTTTTCTGCTTTCTTCTTTCATACTCTTTGCTCATATCAGTTTAATATTAGTTTTACAATCTTCTGCTGTTGCCGCCGCTGCAGCAACAGTTGCGTTTTCCTTTACATCAGTTGGTTTAAACATAGCTTGAGAAAATATTTATATATTATTATGTAGTATTTATGTATATATATATCTTTATGTATATACATATATATTTTGTATATATATGCATTCACACATATATGTGTGTTTATGTGTATAATATATATTTTAAACATGTAGCATAATTTATGTAGCATAGCAATAATAAAAAAAAAAATTGGCTCAAAAAAAATTTTTCGTAAACAAATATGTATCTTATGACAATAATAAAAAAACACGACGACAACGGCGGCCCAACTTGTGTATGCGTGTGTGTATGTCCATGTGTGTGTGTGTGTGTTGGGACTGTAGCTACTCTACATGCAACCACCACCCACTTGCCGCTGCTGTCGCTCCTGCTTCCGCCTGCTCCTCTGCTCCAACCGTTCGTTCACTGTGGCTTCTGGTTCTTTGGTGCTTACTGCTGCTGCTGCTGCTGCTGTTGCTGCTGCTGCTGCGTCTCGTAGCGCTGACGCAGCGCTGTCAGCGCACTCAGCAGCCGACTGTTGGCGGCATCGAGGGCCGCGATCTGCTGCCCCTGCTCCTCGATGACGCGCTGCTTGTGCGACAGGGCGAGCGACATCTTCAGCTGCTCGCGCCGCAGCTCCTCCTCCATGGTGATGAGCCTGCAAAGAGTTTGCCTAATATTAGTTGGCCGGCTGGTGCGAGCGAGCTGTTAAACACACTCACCTGTCGATGATGCTGCGCATGGTGGACTCCGACTGCAGACTCAGGTTGCTGACGCCGTTGCCTCCGCTGCCGCCGCCTCCTCCGCCCGGCCGTTGCAGGGCGAACAGCTCATCGCTGGAGTCGCGCAGCTCCGCCTCGTCGCGGTCCAGCGTGTGACGCAGCGAATCCAGCGTCTCCTGCAGCTGCTGAATCTCGCCGTTCTGATCGTACCCCCGGCTCAAGCCCGAGGAGTCCGACACTGAGACCGAGACACCAGGGCCGCCGCTGTTGGCGTTGCTGCGCAGCTGGCGACGTCGCTTCCCCTCCTGCAGCTGTGCGCAGTGACCTGTGAAAGCAAGCAGAAGCAATTGTAGTTTAAATACGTTCATGGCAAATCTACCAGGCACTTTACAATCATCTCCCCTTTATACAATCTGCATCGACTGCCGACTGTGGCTGCATTTTATCTGCCTGGCCAACAATAACCAACAATATATCTAACATGACGTTTAATCCAGAATGCAAGTCATCTTCATTGTAAATGTTGCAATGTATGTTATCTACTAATGAGCCTCCTCTCATATTCGGCTTAGCTTACTTTTCTTTTGAACAACTCAATAAAATTGCGCTGCATATCTCTAAAATTATCTTATTTAACATGCAGCTTATCCTCCTTGTAAAAGTTATAGTCGGTGTATGTAAGCACGGCAAACTTTATCCCCATGATACAGGCTCCTTGTGTTTGTCTATCTCTTATTCAACTCCCTAGGCTATCCATAGCTCAATATCATTATATTAGTATATCATGTTTGGAGTAAGCATATGTCTCAGCTAGTTGATAGACTCAACTTTATTGATAATCAGTTAACTTTATCTTCACGATGCATCCTCCTGGTAAATTTTCATCTCCACTGCAAACTGTCTCTCACTCTACTTCTGCTCTACCCTTGCTCTACTCCTGCCCATTCTGATTGCTTCTCAACTTACCCTCCGTATCGGTGCTGCTGTCGGAGAGCGTTCGCGCCGAGTCGAGGCTGAGCCGGCGTTGGGCGACCGCCGTAGAGGATGTCGCCGTGCTGCTGGCTCCGCCGCCGCTGCTGGCGTATTGCTTGTGATCCTGCTGCAGCTGCTGTTGCTGTTGCTGCTGCTGCTGCTGCTGATGTTGCTGGTGGGGATGGTGATGGTAATGCTGCTGCAACTGTTGCTGCTGCTGCTGCTGTTGCTGTTGCTGGTGCGAGGACATGGCATAGGACACGGCCATGCCAGTGGCGCTGCCGTAGACGTCCTCGCACTTGAGCGGCCCATTGAGACGGCCGTAGGCGTGGTTCGGCTTGCTCGAGTTGGAGTTGGAGGAGCTGCTGCCGCCGCTGAGCGAGCGCTGCGCCTCCAGTTTGCTGACCGCGTTGGCGCCGGCAGCCGCTGCCGCCGCATAGCTGTAGTGATTGTCCGTGGACAGCTGCTCGTCCGAGGAGCTGGGCGTCAGGGTGGCCGCATCCAAGGTGCCGCCGCTGTTCAAGAAGGCGGCCCGTGCGGCCACCAGCCCAGCGCCCATCAGCTTCACGCGGCCGCCAAAGGGCGTCGTCTGCTGCTGCGGCGTGGGCGGGCCGCGCGTTGAGGCGGTGGGCGCGCTGCTCTGCAGCTGGTACGAGGGATTCTTGAAGGCCAGCGGAGCGCCCAGCTTGTGCGACGTCTGCTGCTGGGGCTGCTGCGGCTGCGATTGCTGCAGCTGGCCCTCGACTGGACTGGAGGACTGTGCGGGGGAGGGATTCGTGGAGATGCTCTGGTAGCCGGAGCTGCAGTGGCTGCTCTTCGCCGACAGCTGCTGCTTGTTGTGGGCCATGTTGTGGCCATGGCCATGGGCATGACTGCCGCTGGGCTGCGGCTCCACAATCACATCCTGCTCCTCGGCGTACTTGAACAGATCGTCCAGATCCTCCAGATTCTTGGGCATGTTCGCGTTGGGATTGAACGGCGCACGCGCATAGCTGTGGGGGGCCGAGTGGTCGGGTATGCCCAGGTTCAGGTTCAGATTGTGACGATTGATGCGCGTGCCGCGCGGCGCTGCTGCGGCGCCCGCCTTCAGCAGCGGCGTGGGCGACTTGCGCACGAAGGCGCTGCTCGTGTCCAGGCCAGAGATCTGGATGAACTCGCCGTGCATATCATCATAGCTGCCGCTCTGATTGCTGTTGCTGCCGTTGCCACTGCCACTGCCACCGCCATTGCCACCGCCATTGCCACCGCCATTGCCGTTGCCATTGGCACTTCCGTTGTTGTTGTTGTTGCGGGGCAAGGTACGCGCCCGGGAGCTGCCACCCGTGGAGCTATCGTAGTCCCCATTGCCATTGGCGTTGCCATTGAGATTGACCATATACTGATAGATCTGGCCCACGCGTTCCATGCGCTCCAAGCGCTCCATGGTGCTGGCAGCACTCGTCTGCGGAGCCGGCGGGCAGTGCTGATTGAGATGCTGGGCGGGATGCTGCTGGTGCTGGTGCTGGTGCAGCAGATTGCTGCTGCTGCCGTTCAGCGAGGAGGATGCCATCGAGCTCTGCGACTGGGCGTGCTGCAGCACTGGACTGTTCGTGTACCCGGAGCCACCACCTGCCCCTCCTCCTCCCGCAATGGAGCTCTGCGAGTTGGATAGCAGCTGATGCGAGTGCTGCTGCTCCTGTTGCTGCTGCTGTTGCTGCTGCTGCTGTTGCTGCTGCTGCTGCAGACGCACATTCACCGTGGGATCATTGTAGCGGAATATGTTCTTCTCCAGTGCACTGGGCGTCAACACGCCTCGCATTATCCCACGCTCTGCGGGCAGCGGCTTGCTGACCACCGCATGCTGCGGCTGAGCCAATTGCTGCTGCTGCTGGTGTTGCTGCTGCTGATGTTGCTGCTGCTGCTGCAGCGAGCTGCTCGAGCTGCTGGGCACCATGCCAGAGCCAGCAGGGGCATCCGGCTGGCGATTCTCCTGGTTCTCGCTGGCAATGCTGTGCGTGGACATGACCGTGGGCAGATAGCCGGAGGCCAGGGCATGGCCCGCGGACAACTCCTTGGCACGGCTGATGTCATCCAGTATGTGCTGCAGGGGATCGAGCTCGTGCTGGCGCGCCTCCGGCAGCTTGGCCAGACTCTCGCTGAGCAGGCTGTGCAGGATGGAGAGC